AAAAAATGAAAATGTTTTCTTCGACTTCTAATGATAATATTGAGAAAACCCAGAACCCCCCAGCTGCGCAAAAGCTAGAACTGACCCTGATAATCTGCTTGACTGCAAAGATCTAAGGCGGCTTAGCTTAACGTTGTTATTTTGACAGTCATAGCAGCATATTTTGTTTGTTTATTATGTGAAGTATGTTTATTGTTGTGCAATAATTGACTTTCCAGACTATAGTAGAGTATTTTTGACATGGAATGTGCTAATGAAAGTAAGTTTGTTATTTTTTTAAACACTTCGGAAATTATCATGATGTTGGTGTCACTATTTTTAATATCAATGTTCATATTTAAAAAAGTTTTACGTTTATCACATAATTTTTTTTCTTTAGGCTATTAGCTTAGTTGTTTTCCTGAAGCCTCTTGTATGTTTTATCGTTTCATTTAGTCTCTTTATGCTAAATTCATATTTTGTAGATGTTCCCCCTTGCCTGACACGTATGGACTTGTTTAACTTACTGTGTTCCGAAAACCTATTAAGGCACGGGGTATCAAAAGGAAATATATACCGTTTAAGAGGCTATTTAAAAGATGAAATCATTAACCGTGGATTGATCTATAATGACGATGATGTTATTTTGTCGGATATAAAAATGTTTTTATGCAATCTTTTGAAACGTTGGAAGAGCTGTAAATGTACCGAAAACAGCCCAGGATCGAGTAGACTTTTGCATATCCCAAAAATTGGACGTCCGCCCAAGTCTTTTTTGGAGTCATCGTCAAGAGCGAAACGCAGAAAAATTCAACCACTATTGGAAAAACATTCACCTGAAGAACTTGCTCTTGCGACACAAGCGGCATACATATCTAAAGGAAAGCGAAATATTGCCGTTGTAATAAAGAATGAGACACTAAAAAGAGATCGATCTGTAAAATTAATCAAAAAAGCTTGCAATCCTAATAAAAGTGCTCCAGATCGTTTAAAAAAATTATCTATATTCGTCTTTATTTATCAATTGAAAGTTTAGTTTATCAATTGAAAACTTTAAGGAAACAAAAAATCATTTTCCGGAGAAAGAAAAATTTGACCTAATGCGTCAAAAAGGTGTATTTCCGTATACATTTATGGATAGTTTGAAGAAAATGAATAACCGTTCACTTCCTACTAAAAATGAATTTTACGATGATTTAAATAATGAAAATATTAGCGATGTGGACTATCAAAGAGCAAAGGATGTCTGGCGCTTATTCAATTGCAAAACTCTAGGGGATTATTCGGATTTATACTTAAAATCGGATACCCTTCTTCTGTGCGATGTTTTCGAAAATTTTCGCGATACAAGTTTAAAAATACATAAATTGGATCCACTTCAATACTATAGTTTGCGGAGCTTATCATTTGATTCGATGTTGCGCATGACCAAGGTAGAGTTAGAATTGCTGACGGATATTGATGATTCACTTTTTTAAAAACGGTATTCGTGGTGGCGTAAGTCAGTGTTCGGAAAGAAAACATATAGCAAATAATAAGTTTCTTCCAAATTATAATCTTTCAGAACCTTCATCGTTTATTATGCATTTAGACGCAACAAATTTATATGGATATAGTATGTCTCAACCATCACCTGTCACCATCACCTGTCACCATCACCTGTGGAGAAGCTTGATTTGGCGCAACACATCCAGATATGGATGAAGGCCTATAGAAAAAATCAAGAGGATGGTGCAGCAGCGGTGGTAAAGGCTGAAGCGGTAGTGGAGAAGGCAGAGGAAGCCCTAAAGCGAGCCAAATTGTAGCTTGATGCTAAAAAAAAATGAGCATCCAAAAATCTCAAAAGGACGCTTTAGCGGCAATGTTTATTGAAAATTAATATTTTTTTATGTATAAGTGTAATTTTTAGTATATTTTTTTGTTTGCAATAATATATTACAGTTTGAGGGTTGGAACCTTTGGTGTTACACAGCAAAATAAAACACTATATCACCACAATACACCAAAACACTTTTACTTTTACACTAGACGCGCGTTTCGCTAACCATGTTAGCATCATCAGCAGATGATTATAAACTCAAAATTTTTTTGTTTTTTTTTTGTTTTTGAGTTGATAATCATCTACTGATGATGCTAACATGGTTAGCGAAACGCGCGTCCAGTGTAAAAGTAAAAGTGTTTTGGTGTATTGTGGTGATTTAGTGTTTTATTTTGCTGCAATAATATATATGTTTTTGTATATAGTAATATGTATAGTTTTGTATAATAGTATTGTAATAGTGTAATAGTATTTTGTATAGTTAATAAATTTATAAATTAAAAATTTTAATTTTTTTTCTTGTATATAGTTAAAAATTATAAAATAAAATAATCTGAGAATAATTTTGTGTGTAAAAAGAGACCGCTTAGGCAGCCGCTAACCGTCCCTGAACGCGCCCTTTATATCTTGATGTTAAGGGATTTTTAAGAGGTTAAAGTATATAACCGAACATTTAAGATACACTCTGTATAACGTAACTTTACCCTTGAAACATATTGAAGAATAATATTCAAACCGCATGCATCAGGTATATGGAGAATTTGTAGTGGAGTGTTCGTGTATAAAAAGTAGCTCAACAGTATAAATTTCATTAGTTTTCCTAGCGATAGATGTCCGAGCATAACCTATTTAATACGCAGATTATAATGGCAAATATAAGTTGTGATGATATCGATTTCCAACTTGAGAGTGAAGAGTTTGATCGCATATTTGCGAAAGTGGTGGAAGAGGAGAAGAAAAAACCGAAAGTGAATATTATATCAAATATTCAGGTGGTTCAGCCTAATCCATCTCCAGTAGGGGGTAAAAACAAACCATCCGGATCAAAGTTGAAGAACATACTGAAGGGGGAGACACCTTATAAGAGAAAAAGTGGTGGTGAATAACGTAATACTAAGTGTAATAAGGAAAAACAAGAACATCAACCTCACCACGAGCTGCTTCAACAATTGCAGCAAGAGTCGCAACCGGTTCAACACCCGCAGCAGCAGCAGCAGCAGCAGGAAGAGCAGACTTTCGACGACTACTTGAGTGAGGAAGAGCGAAACCTGTTCGCCCAAGAGGTGCGAATAAAGAAACAGTTCTTGGACGAATTCAAGCAAATTGAATTGAGTGTAGTGGAAGCGCGAGAAACACTTGCACTACAACAACTGGAACTTCAGATTAGGGAGGAGCGTCTAAAAAAGTGTGAACATAGAATGAGGACTTTAAACATAGAATGAGGAATTTAAGTCTCTTAAAATAATTAGTGTATTGGTTAAGATAGGAAGTTATAATTATAGTATTTTTTTTTCAAATGTTTTAAAATAAAGGCTATTTACAATAATTATTGTGATTTTTTTTTCATTACAACAAAAGTAAATACAAATAATACACTTTTTTCAGTGTATATTAATTTAGAACAATTTTAATTTAAGACGGTTGATTTTTAGTAACCTGAAATACAGTTAATTTATAATAGAAAATATCTCAATAACAAAAAAAATGAGAAATAGAGATATTCAGATCTCTTCTTAATTTTAGACTATATGTTTTATAATTGTTTCAGTTTATATTGAGATCTATAGATCACTAGAGTGGGTTCAGGGTAAGAACTAGACGAAGGAAGAATGCGATGTTGCCATAGGTTTTAAAAATTCCTAGTTATTCTATAATACTGCATAGTATGCGCAGAGGGTGTAACAGTGGGGAGATCGGCTATAAGATAGAGTTCCTCATACGTTATTGCGTTAGTCTTCAGATATTGCTGAAGAGTAAAAAAAATGTCTTCTCTAAATGGTGAGGAAATCTTAAATTCCCTTCCAGACTGCGAAGATCCGAACTACACAGTGATATTAGATTTTGAAGATCTCATTCAAAACGAGAGTGGAGACAACAGGAAATATCAAGAAAAAGAAGAAGAATCAAGAATATCGAAGGAACAGCATTCGCCCGGCTCAGCTCTACCAAATTTAAAGCGAATGTTGACGATGGATGAAACTAATACGTAGAAGAGAAGAAAGAAAACAGTAGCTCCATCATCATCAACAACATTTGCTACATTGTCGGGGTCTTTGTCATCACATCGTGTCGCACCATCACCTGTGGAGAAGCTTGGTTTGGCGCAACACATCCAGATATTGATGAAGGCCTATAGAAAAAATCAAGAGGATGGTGCAGCAGCGGTGGCAAAGGCTGAAGCGGTAGTGGAGAAGGCAGAGGAAAAAAAAAGCGAGCCAAATTGGAGCTTGATGCTCAAAAAAAATGAGCATCCAAAATCTCAAAAGCGGCAATGTTTATTGAAAATTAATATTTTTTTATGTATAAGTGTAATTTTTAGTATAATTTTTTTTGTTTGCAATAATATATATTTTTTTTGTATATAGTAATATGTATAGTTTTGTATAATAGTATTTTAATAGTGTAATAGCATTTTGTATAGTTAATAAATTTATAAATTAAAAATTTTACATTTTTTTCTTGTATATAGTTAAAAATTATAAAATAAAATAATCTGAGAACAATCTTATTATAAATAAAAAAATCTTAGAACCCCATATATATTAGTTTAATTTATATTTATGAGATATATTCTATAGATAAAATAAAAGAAAATTACTTTTTTCTTGTATATAGTTAAAAACTATAAAAGAATCTTAGAACAATCTTATTATAAATAAAAAAATCTTAGAAGCCCATATATATTAGTTTAATTTATTTTTATGAGATATATTCTAAAGATAACATAAAAGAAAATTACTTTTTTCTTGTATACAGTTAAAAATTATAAAATAAAATAATCTTAGAACAATTTTATTATAAATAAAAAAAACTTAGAACCCCATATATATTAGTTTAATTTATTTTTATGAGATATATATTCTATAGATAAAATAAAAGAAAATTACTTTTTTTTCTTGTATGTAGTAAAAATTATAAAATAAAATAATCTTAGAAAAACCTTATTATAGAAATTCGGTTTTTCGGGTTTTTAGGCGAGTCAATGGATCTAATTAAGGAATCATTTCCACCTGACATCGCGGAGCTTTTCCGAGTGTGCCTGACTGGTAGCTATTTCTCATGGAACAGCAACTATTACGAACAAACAGAGGGTGTCACAATGGGCAGCCCAATCAGCCCAATAATTGCTAATTTCTTTATGGAAAGATTTGAAGAAAAAGCGCTAGAGTCATCAGTTCTGAAGCCCGCAGTATGGTTTCGTTATGTGGACGATACATTTGTTGTTTGGAAACATGGACGAGACAGCCTAGATGACTTCCTTCATCACCTTAATACACAAAGCCCGAGCATAAAATTTACTATGGAAACCGAAGTAAACAACCAACTGGCCTTTCTCGATGTGCTTGTCAAGAGAAATGGAGACCATTTGGATCACACGGTGTATCGAAAACCCACTCATAGAGACCGGTACTTGCACAATCTGTCAAATCACCATCCAAGCCAAAAACAGGGGATTTTCGGAACATTAGCAAATAGAGCAAGACGCATTTGTGCTAAGGATCACATACAAGAGGAACTAAGTCACTTAAAGCCTTTCTTGCTAACGGGTATAATGAGAAAGAAATAAAGGCGGCGCTAGCACCTAGGCAGAGGAGACTTGACGTCAATGAACAGAATAACACCGTTAATAAGGCATTCCTTCCATATGTCTCCCAGGTCACCGATAGGATTGGAAAAGTTCTCAGGAAACATAACATCAAAACAATATACAAACCTACCCGGAAAATAAAGGACTGCTTGAGACCAGCCAAAGGTAAAAGGGTACCATTATCCTCTGCAGGGATCTACCGTTACCTTGTTCCTGCGGTAGCGTATATATTGGAACTACCAAACGCTCAGTAGGAACGAGACTTACGGAACACAAGAGAAGCTGCGGGTTAGGGCAAACAGACAAGTCGGCCGTAGCAGAACATGCTCTAAGAGATGGTGACCACAAAATCCAGTTCAAAGACACCCAAGTCATTGCCGCAACATCTGGATATCATCCTCGTCTGATCAGGGAAGCTGTTGAAATTCACAAACATCCAAATAATTTCAACAGGAAGGAAGAAACTCTCTACCTAAACAGAATTCGGCATCCAGCTATATCTAGGACCAAGGTAGCAGTACAGAGAAGTAGACCAGTTTCGGAAGAACCACCACCTTAACAAGCCGCGCCCCCTGCGCCGCAGCATAAATACGCGCTACGCCGATGCGGAGGCATCAGTCTAGTGTGAGCAATCGAAGCAAACACACAATAGGTCTATCTCTGATGATGCTAGCCACTCGTGCTAGCAAAACGTTAGGAAACAATTCTAACCGACGACGGCCTAAAAACCCGAAAAACCAAATTTCTTCAAACGATGGCCGCGAAAGCCTAAACTATTACAACCTTATTATAAATAAAAAAAATCTTAGAACCCCATATATATTAATTTAATTTATTTTTATGAGTTATATTCTATATACAGTGTGTCCGTAAAGTAACGGATAAATTCATTTAAAATTCAACCGTTTTTTTTTGGAAAAACGCTCGGACACGTCAATCTTAATTTTTAGTGGCGCTACTTTTAAACTAATTTGCTGTTATACAGGGTGGCCCAAAAAAAGATATCACGTGACACTTCAATTTTTTAAATGGAATGCCCCGTATATTTTGATAAATATCGATAGAGCTCATCGAGACGAATTCAACGATATAGGGGTTAATAGGTCTATCTTGAACCGTTTGTTTACAAAAAATAAAAAACTTTACACTATCAAAAAACATCTTAATATTTTTTTTTGACTAACTGCAGGTAGGCACACGCTAAGTAAACACCAGTCTTATTGTTAGCCTTGTCACTTGAGTGTCAGAGCATTTTGTTATCAATTAAACATTCCTTTGCCTTGAAGTACAATGCCGTTATCACTTACACAAAGAATTGAAGTTTTAATGATGATTGGATATGGGGACCGAGTACGCACACAGAAAGAAGTATGCGTTTTGTTCAATAATAAATATCCTGAAATGAACATATCTCAATCAACAGTAAGTAGAATAGAAAATAAATTCCGAGAAACCGGTTCTGTTGATAATTTGTCAAAAAGCGGACGTCCTTCTGTCAGTGAGGAAGCCAAAACGAACATTTTTTTATCTTTCGAAGAAAATCCACATAATAGTGTCCGTCAGGTTGGTCGAGAATATAATGTTTCGAAAAGCTGTGTTCACAGCTTGCTAAGACTGGAGAGGTGGCACCCATACAAAATGAAGTTAGTACAGGAGTTATCCGAAGATGATCCAGATCGTAGAATGCAGTTTTGCCAAATATTGATGGATAGGTGCAATAATGATCCATTATTCGTAAAACGTATAATCTTCTCAGATGAATCTACATTTACTTTAAACGGAGAAGTCAATCGCCAAAACGTACGATATTGGTCCAACGAAAACCCTAGGTGGATGAGAGAAAGCCACACCCAATATCCTCAGAAAATCAACGTTTGGGCGGGCATTGTAGAGAATCGTATTATTGGGCCTTATTTTTTTGACGACACTCTAACTGGGATCAGGTATCTTCAATTTCTGCAGACTTATCTTATACCTACACTAAGGGGATTATTTCCAAATAGAAATAATCCTGAAATGTCACACGAAAATTTGTGGTATCAACAAGATGGCGCACCGCCACATTATGCAGTTTATGTGAGACGTTTCCTAGATCAAGTTTTTCCAGGGAAGTGGATTGGAAGGCGAGGAAGTATCGAATGGCCGCCAAGGTCACCTGACCTCACACCCCTTGATTTTTTCCTCTGGGGTCACCTGAAGAACGTCGTATTCAAAACTAAACCTGATAATCTCGAAGAACTAAAAAACAGGATTCGAAGAGAATGCGATAACATTTCTCGAGAAACTATAAGCAGGGTTCAAGAGGAATTCATTAACCGCTTAGGTTTCTGTCAAGCTCAAGAGGGATTTCAATTCGAACACTTTATTAAATAATAAGTTATTACCTTATCACCATTTCTTAGCACTGTCATTAAAATAAATCATAATTGCTGAGCGTTGCAACAGCTGTAAAGTTTTTTATTTTTTGTAAACAAACGGTTCAAGATAGACCTATTAACCCCTATATCGTTGAATTCGTCTCGATGAGCTCTATCGATATTCATTAAAATATACGGGGCATTCCATTTAAAAAATTGAAGTGTCACGTGATATCTTTTTTTTGGGCCACCCTGTATAACAGCAAATTAGTTTAAAAGTAGCGCCTCTAAAAATTAAGTTGACGTGTCCGAGCGTTTTTCAAAAAAAAACGGTTGAATTTTAAATGAATTTATCCGTTACTTTACGGACACACTGTATATATATATATATATTATATATATATATATATATATATATATATATATATATATATATTTTTTTCTTTTTATATATTATATTTCTATAGATAAAAAAAAATACTTTGGAAGTTACCTTTGTAGAAGAAAGCCTAATAATAAAAAAAGTAAATCTTGAAAAACCACCCTTATCGGGGATTGAACCAAGGACAGAAAGGCAAAAATCAAAACTATTAGCACCGTATAAGACGTATAAGTAGCGTAGGTAAAATTTCTTGGAACGTCTAAACATGAAAACACCTGCTCGACTGGTGGTCCTTACGTATTGTAAAATTGATTGACGTTGAACCAAATTTTTAAAAATCAGTAGCTTAAGTATCCTTTTAGTACCAACTTCTCACATTATCCAAGCCAAGGTAAATATTCTTTTGAAACTGAAACATCTGGCACACCTGAAAACATTCTCTGTTGCAAAATGGGTAACGAACCGAACCTTTTTTTTTTTTGGCTGACAATCCACCCTCGCAAAGGTAAATATTTCTGTGAACGTCGAAACCTGAAAACACCTGCCCAACGGGTGGTCCTTTGATTTAAAACTTAATTGAAAACTGATTGACGTCGAAGTAAGTTTTGAAAATTCAGTAGCTTAAGCACCATCTTATCCATTTATCACATTCTCTTCGCAAAGGTAAATATTCTTTTGAAACTAAAACACCTGGCCAACGGGTGGTTCTTATCTCTTGTAAAAATGGGTCAATGACGAACCGAACCTTTTTTTTGACCGACAATGACACGATTTTCAAGGTAGAGTTGGTACGACCGCGGGCAATATTCCACCCCTTTGTAAACTGATTGATATTATTAGAGAAAGAAATAAATAAAGAAAGTATTTACATTTAATGCTTAATACACTGTCATTTTTTTTATTCAGGAATATGTATATATATATATATATATATAAATAAGTGTTTAATCAAAAGTTTTATGGTTTGGTATACAGTTTTATGGTTATGGATACACTCTGTATATGATAAGTAATTCTTTAGTCCGGGGTTTAAAGCCTACTTGATCGTAAAACTTCTTTTTTATTAGTAAAAAAAGCTGTATAAATATAACTAAATTTATTAATATAACTAAATTATTATGCGCATGTTTGTTAAGTATTTTTAGGAAAATATTTGTGAAACGGCAACACTGTCCGGGAAATAAATAGCTCAAAGCTCACATTCTTGGGACCAGTAACTATTATGTCAGATTCGTCTTCGTTTGTATTCAGTCTGGAAACTGAAAGAGTGGGGCGCCCAGCGTCACCCGACTCCGATTCCTCGGAAGAAACCGAATTTTTTGAGGAAGGTCAACGCATCGAGATTGACTTGGAAGAATACAATCAAGAAACCGATGCGGAGGGGGACACTTTACCTGATTCCTCAAATTAGTGGACTCCATGACAACCACCGGTCGAATTAGCTGGACCAGCTGACAGCTCTTGGATGTGGGTTCCAGAAATCGTTGAGGATGACGATGACGATGGAGATGCAGACTCAACTACCCCATAAATAATCGTCGATCCACTAGATATAATAAAATCTATTCTTTTTAGAACCACAATAAGAATTATAAATAAAAAGAATAAAAACCAACAAAAGTAAATACAAATAATACACTTTTTTCAGTGTATATTAATTTAGAACAATTTTAGTTTAAGACGGTTGATTTTTAGTATCCTGAAATACAGTTAATTTTTTCTCAATAACAAAAAAAAATGAGAAATAGAGATATTCAGATATATTCTTTATTTTAGAATATATGTTTTATAATTGTTTCAGTATATATTGAGATCACTAGTTATTATTATATATATTGAGATCTATAGATCACTAGTGGGTTCAGGGTAAGAACTAGACGAAGGAAGAATGCGATGTTGCCATAGGTTTTAAAAATTCCTAGATATTCTATAGTACTGCATAGTATGCGCAGAAGGTGTAACAGTGGGGAGATCGGCTATAAGATAGAGTTCCTCATACGTTATTGCATTAGTCTTCAGATATTGCCGAAGAGTTAAAAAATTCACAGATTTTGCAACATGCGCAACCATCATAGGCGTATTGAAAATACCAGAAACAAGTCGGCGGTTGTCGACAATCACCTGTTTTTTCACATTTTATATTAACTTGTGGCGTCATTTGGGAGAGCTCAATAGAAATATAAAAGAACTAAACCTTGTTCGTTGGAAAGCAATTTGACATTCGTGACGTCAGCACTCCGGCAGTCTAAAGCCGGGTCCAGACTATGTAACAAAACATGTTAAATAACAAAGTTTTATAACTTGTTAGAGAAATTCAAGTAAAAAAGTTATAAAACACAATGTTATACAACAGTTTTCTTGTTATATAACAAAAATTATGTTATCCATTAGGTGTCGGTAAAGATCAAAGAAAGTTATAAAACTTTGTTTTTATAACACGCCGCGACTTGTCCACACTTGTGTTATTAAACATTTAGGTACTGTAGGACGAGCGGCGTTTGAATTTAGTATTGCCAGAACTCTCGCGGTGCACACAGTAATTTTGTTAATTTTTACGCAATGGAATGGTCGAAAGAACTTACCACTCATTTAATTGAGTTATTTCGTGAGCATCGAGTATTATGGGATCCTACCTTCATGGATTTTAAAAACAGGAATAAAAACACGACGCATGGACTGAACTAGGTGCAGAATTGAAAACAAATGCAAGTGAAGTTGAAAAAAAATGCGTATGCTTATGGGGCAGTTCCAGCGGGAGTTGAAAAAAGGGAGGAGTGGTGATGGAGCTGATGCTCCGTATAAAACAAAATGGATTTTTTAAAATGCTTTTATTTTAAAAGACAAAAATGAGCCACGGCATTCTACTGATGGTGGTCTATCTCCCGAACAAGATACACAAGATACTAGTGACAACAAAACAGCAGAGGTAAGTACCCTACATTTTTAATTAATAACCAATTTGAAGTCAGTAATTATTCTGCCACGGCACTTTTCCCTCCTCACTGGTAAAGAACATAGAAAACTCTTCTCGTATTTCCTTGCCTAGCACACTGGGTTTTCTAGGAATCCGTTTGAGTCTCAGCAACGTACCATTTGGCTGACCTTCGACTCTCCATGTACCGGGTATTAGTTCCCCGGTAAACGTGTCCTCTGAATCAAAAATACCTGGTGGACAGTAGGATGAAGATGATTGACCTTTCCTAAGAAAATTGTGGAGATAACAGCATCCTAAAACTATTTTTTCTGCTCTTTCGGGCTCAAGAAGCATTGGTTTTCGTAACACCCTGAATACGGCAGATAAAATTCCAAATGAATTTTCGACTACACGCCTAGCTCTACTATGTCTGTAATTGTAAATTCGCCCCTGTGAACCTTTCTGTTGAGTGCCTGGGAAGGGTGTCATAATATGCGGTTGCAAAGCAAATACCTCATCACCTAGAAATACGAACGGTGAAGGTGAGGTTCTTCCCGGTAATACTTTCATTGGTGGGAGATTCAAGGAAGACGTTTCAAGCAGATGTTTAAATGTTGTGTTAGCATATACTCCGCCATCAGACAAACGTCCTTGGCAACCCACATTTACATAGGTAAAGCAATAGTTAGCGTCAACTATAGCTAAAAGCACTATGCTGAAAAATCCCTTGTAATTGAAATAGTCGCTTCCACTGTTCATTGGAGCTTGTAAACATATGTGTTTTCCATCTATACTACCACAACAGTGAGGGTAATTCCACTTCTGGTTAAAATCGTCTACAATCTGTAGCCATTCTTCTTGATATTTAGGCACCTAAAAAAATGCTTTATAGTTTTATTTTTTGTCTTGCAGGAAGAAGGGCAACTAGAGTCACATCCAGAAGTGCAAAGTGATATCGAAAAATGTCAAGAAAAACCTGTAATAAAAACCGTTGCACGTGTTCCTACCACAAAAGGTACCAAGAGAAGAGTGTTAGATGCGAAATCTGAAGAAGCTTACGCGATAATGAAACAACTATCAAGTAACGTGAAAAACGAGATGACTTCGATGTGTATGGTGAATATGTAGCCGGGATCTTGCGGAATCTAAAAAGCAAGTCGGTTCTAGCCGTCGCGAAATATGAAATAAATAATGCTCTCTACCGAGCGGAGATAGCAGAGATATCTTCAAATACACCTGAGCCATCCACTACTCCGGCATCTGATACACCTGCATCTACTCCACTTTCACCAACTACAACAGACACTGACACTCAATCATACAATAGACCTGGGTCGTCTACCATGCCGTCCGCTACAAATATATCCACTACTTCACCAATTCAAACAGACACTGACACTCAATCATACGCAGGCGCAGAAGACATAAGTGAGAATGAATTAACCTTTACACAAATGCTTCTGAATTTATAAATGTCCTGATTTTTTCTAATTGCAAATGAATGAATAAAGAGGTTTAGAAAAAGTCTATGTACTTACTTTTATTTTGTCGCTTAAACAGTCGATGAGAGCGTCGCACACTTCTGGCACAATATTCGAAATACTTTGCTTAGAAAATTTGAATAAATAGCTTAAACTTTGGTAGGAATCTCCACTTGCTAAGAATCTCAATGTAACTGCCAATCTTTCTTTTACTGGTATTGCATCTCGAAATGTTGTGTTTTTTTTCCTATTTTATGGCCAATTTGATTTATAAGGTATTCGAAATCAGAACTGGTCATCCTTAGGAAATTTTGAAACTACCATCACATTTAATTTCTCCTGTTAATGGGTGTATGTCATCCATTGCTAGATCCTTTAAAAGAGTTGTTCCACTATATGTTCCTCGAGTTCTTAACGATGGCCGTACCCAAAATCTTCGTTTAGACTTTACTCGTCGCCTACATAAAATCACGCAAGCTGCTGCTGCCAAAATTACATCCTCTACGTTTGAGGTCATTTTAAATACTACAGCTGCTACTACTTCGAGCAATTACACTTATTTTGTTTAGTTCTGTTTTGTTACATAGTGTGGATGTCTCTGCTATTTTATAACAAGTTATAAAACAAAGTTGTACAACAAATTTGTTGTATAACTTGATATTCAACATGTTTTGTTACATAGTCTGGACCCGGCTTAACGTAAACGTATCATTGATCGCTATTCACAAATATATTCCAGATACGTATAGTGAACAAGTTTAACGTTCGCAACGTTAAATAATTTTGATATTTGATTTTTATCGTGATGGTTTTGTGTAAAAGTGAAGAATTTAGTGAGGAAAATATTAATGATGGATATGAACGTGTGCGGATTCGTGATTGGTCACGATCACGGTCACGACACTACGACGGGCTCCTATACCCACGTAGGAGCCCAAAATATGCAAAAAGGGGGTCAGTTTAGCTTAAGTTTAGATTAGGTCTATATTTTTTATTAATGCAAAACCAACTAAAATCTAATTCTAATCTAACCTAAACTCACTTCTTCTTTTGCATATTTCGGGGTATTACCTGGGTATTCCTAGGTTTAATCAATATTCGAACTTAGGTGTAAATTTAAATTTATGGATGGCCAATAAATTTATATTCGCCGTACAAAAAAAATACTTTTCACCAATTTTCACAATAAAAATTAAAAGTTATAAATCATAATATTTTTTTATAGAAATGAGGGAATAAGGGTGAACGGGGTGCCGCGCCGGTAGACCAAGAAGATACTTGGAATGTAAATGTTAATCTATACTCGAATGGAGTTGTATAATATATAGTATAGTATAGGCATATTTTGAACCCCTATAGTTACTGTGGATAAAAATAAATTAAAATATAGTTGGCTCCAACGATAATTTAGTTTGCAGCTTCTTTTCATCATGCCTAATAAAAAACCGTCACAACCACTACTCATAGTATGTACCTATGTATTTTTAAACATCATTATGAAATTAAAAATACATAGGTGCCCATAATATGAGTAGCGGTATTTTTTTTTTCGTTTCATCATAACGGATTTTGTTGTGCTGAAAATAAGCAGCAACATATATTATCGATTGCAACAGCTATACCTAGTTTACATTCAGTATGTCAAATTAATATAGAACATTATAACTAGGCATACTTTTAAAAATTTGCTACCAATATATTTTGATAGTTGAGTTTTTGAAATTATTTGTTAGCTTCTTAAACAAAACAGACCCATAATAATTCAAATCTTTATCATTCAAGACTTCCAAGAATTATGAAGTAATCTGACGTCAAAAGTTTTTAAAATTATTGCATGCCTTAAGTATTTGCAAAGTTAACAAAAATATTTCTTTGCGTACCTTGCAATTAATATATTTAATCCAATTTATCAGTTCTGCATCATATCCGAAATTTAGATTGTGTGTGACACAACGAAGAGTTAAAGTGCAACGTGAACGACCAGAAAAATATCAAGTAAAAAAGAATTGTTAAGTTTTAATTACTAGTTACGCAGTCCTTCCCCCCCATATTGATTTCCCTCTTGCCTAAAATCTATATTGTCTTTCCTAACATTTTAAATATAAATGATTGAAACTCATACAAGTTTACCATAATTTAAACTTAACATAGTCCCTAATTATATTAAAATATAACACTTACGAAGTTAATAAATATTAACTATTTCTACTTATTTTTAATCATTTAATAATTCTGATAAAAACACGCTTGATTTTTTTATTTTAGAAATCATACGGGCTATAATAATTAATATGACTATATTAACAATACTTAAATTAAAATTTATTTGAAGGAATGCTACTGTATTACAATAATTGTAGAACACGTATGTAATAATAACTCGGAATAATATAATAATTATTTAAAACTGCTCATCCCGTTATCGATGTCGGCGTCTTGTCACTTTTATTTAGTCTTATCAGTATTATTTTATTAGCCGTTTAGGTATAGTTTGATTTCAGATAATGCAGATTTTAATGTGCCATTTGTGGTTTTTTTATTGGATTTTTTTTGCATATTTGGTATATTCTATGAAGTGATTTTAAGTGCTCCTGACCATTTTTCAATTATTACAATGCCTATTTAGATACATTTAAAATGAATTAATTAATGTATAGTATTTGTATTATGAGTTTGTTTATTTTTTATGAGATGTATTTTTTCCCATTAAAATAAACATAGCTTACTAAATTACTAGCTAGCCATTTTTAAATACAGGGTGATAATTAAGTATCTGGCCGAACTTCAGGAGGTGATTCTTTGAGTGTTTTCAGGTAAAAAGTTCATATAAACATGTGTCCGGAAATGTATAATTTTAAAGATACAGGGGTCAAGGTGTTTTCTAATAGACCTTTTTTATTAATATCCGTTGGCCGATTTTGTTGAAATTTCGCCATGTTGTGAACTTTGATAAGTTAGCACTAATTAAATGACAATTATTATTTACAACAATATTCAAAGGATAAAATCTTATCCCAATAAATATTTGGCAACGCCTTGGATTCGTGTGTTGTTACGCCTGTTGGCGGTGGAAACCCTGCAAGCTTTTTCTTTGGCCTAAGTTGTTAATTAAAAAAATAATAATCATAAAAAATATAGGTCCTAATAGCCTAAATTTTAGCAAAATGTATCAGCAGATCCGATGAGATCCGAGTTATTATGTTTTGGAACTTAATGATTTAATTAATTATTCCCTTTAATACATTTACATATTCTACGCGCCAAGAAAAAATATTACATTGGTCTAAATTTATTATTTATGTGATTCCACGCTTTCACGTATAATTTGCCTCTTGCTTCTCATACGGAAAGAGTTAGATTAAAATAGCCAAACTGTACCTAACAACCCATATGCCTTGACGCATATTCTTTTTTATAATAATATGGGCTTTCTTTATCCGCCGGCCCAGACACACACACACACACACACTGATAAATTAATAAGACCTCATTTCGGCCCTCAAACGTCCTTCGATGATCAACGCAGGCTAAACTATCGACTTACGTGTTGACAAGTTGATTAGGCAGGTTATTGAACTTGTGTGATATCGAGCATGTCGTTTTTTCAAAGATGGGTCCCATATAAACGCGGCCAGAAGTATTTTCAATACTAAAAAATGTCTTCTCTAAACGGCGAGGAAATATTAAATTTCCTTCCGGACTGTGAAGAGCCGAACTACTCAGTAATATTAGATTTTGAAGATCTCGTTCAGAACGAGAGTGAAGACAGCATGAATAACCAAGAAAAAGAATCAACTATATCGAAAGAACAGCATTCGCCCGGCTCAGCTCTACCAAATTTAAAGCGAATGTTGATGATGGATGAAACTAATACGGAGAAGAAGAGAAGAAAGAAATCAGTATCTCCATCATCATCATCAGCAACAATTGCTACATTGTCATCACATCGTGTCGCACCATCACCTGTGGAGAAGCTTGATTTGGCGCAACACATCCAGATATGGATAAAGGCCTATAGAAAAAATCAAGAGGATGGTGCAGCAGCGGTGGCAAAGGCTGAAGCAGTAGTGGAGAAGGCAGAGGAAGCCCTAAAGCGAGCCAAATTGGAGCTTGATGCTCAAAAAAAATGAGCATACAAAAATCTCAAAAGGACGCTTTAGCGGCAATGTTTATTGAAAATTAATATTTTTTTATGTATAAGTGTAATTTTAGTAGTAAAATAAAAGCTGTATAAATATAACTAAATTTATTAATATAACTAAATTATTATGCGCATGTTTGTTAAGTATTTTTAGGAAAATATTTGTGAAACGGCAACACTGTTCGGGAAATAAATAGCTCAAAGCTCACATTCTTGGGACCAGTAACTATCATGTCAGATTCGTCTTCGTTTGTATTCAGTCTGGAAACTGAAAGAGTGGGGCGCCCAGCGTCACCCGACTCCAATTCCTCGGAAGAAACCGAATTTTTTGAGGAAGGTCAACGCATCGAGATTGACTTGGAAGAATACATTCAAGAAACCGATGCGGAGGAGGACACTTTACCTGATTCCTCAAGTTAGTGGGTTCCAGAAATCGTTGAGGATGACGATGACGATGGAGAAGCAGACTCAACTACCCCATAAATAATCGTCGATCCACTAGATATAATAAAATCTATTCTTTTTAGAACCACAATAAGAATTATAAATAAAAAGAATAAAAACCAACAAAAGTAAATACAAATAATACACTTTTTTCAGTGTATATTAATTTAGAACAATTTTAGTTTAAGACGGTTGATTTTTAGTATCCTGAAATACAGTTAATTTATAATAGAAAATATCTCAATAACAAAAAAAATGAGAAATAGAGATATTCAGATATCTTCTTTATTTTAGAATATATGTTTTATAATTGTTTCAGTATATATTGAGATCACTAGTTATTATTATATATATTGAGATCTATAGATCACTAGTGGGTTCAGTGTAAGAACTAGACGAAGGAAGAATGCGATGTTGCCATAGGTTTTAAAAATTCCTAGTTATTCTATAGTACTGCATAGTATGCGCAGAGGGTGTAACAGTGGGGAGATCGGCTATAAGATAGAGTTCCTCATACGTTATTGCATTAGTCTTCAGATATTGCCGAAGAGTTAAAAAAATGGCTTCTCTAAACGGCGAGGAAATATTAAATTCCCTTCCGGACTGTGAAGAGCCGAACTACACAGTAATATTAAATTTT